GGGGTACTCCTCCTCCTCTTCTTCCAAGTTTCCGATCTCCCTTTTCTTGCCGAGGGGGATGGTGTTCGGATTTACCCAGGCATTTACCTTCGTATGGTGCCCTCGGGGAGGTCCCTGATGAGAAGGTCCCTCCTGCCGAGGGCTCTGGACAAACTGGGACAGGTGCCCTGCCTGTATTAATCTCTCGATGGCCGTCTTCAGCTGATGGCAGTCATCGGTCCTGTGCCCTTGGTGCCGATGGAAGCGACAGTAGGGGAACTGAGGGTTGATAGCGTGTACCTCCGGGGGTGCGCGAGAGTCGCGCTCAACGAGGCCCCTCTCCTCGGCAAAATCGAGGATGATGCTGCGGGGTGCGTCAATGGTGTCCGAGGGCGGTCCAGGAGAATGGGCTGGGCCCAAGTCTTAGGATTGCTCCTATAACCTCCCCCGGGCTTGGCTTGGCCTTGCCGAGGGCGGTCATCAGAGGGTCCCGAAGCCTTGGGGCGATTTGGAGGAGCCCCCGTCCCTCGGTTATGCTTGTTGTCAGCCCTCGGGGGCTGCTGTCCGGATGCTGGTGATACTTCTCCACCTCCTCGGCCTCAGCATATCGGTCCCCCCGCTGCAAAGCCCTTATGTAGTCGCGGGGGGGTTCAATGATGAGGCTCCTTGAAAAGTTACCGGTGCGGATGACGGTTTGTAGGAGGGCCAGGAGGGTCCCGTCATCAGCACCGTCGACCTTGTCGGCCTCCGTCCTCCAGCGCTCTAGGAAATCCCGAAGGGTCTCATCCTTCTTCTGGCGTATTGTTAGGAGGTGGGAGAAGTGCTTCCTCGTGCGACGCCTCCCGGCGAATTGTGTCAAGAATCGTTGGGCGAGTTCTTGCCACGAATCAATGCAGCCCTCGGGCAGCCTGTTGAACCATTCGTATGCTGGTCCCTCTAAGGTGGAGAGGAACCATCGACACAAATATTCGTCTGATGCCCCCACCATCATCATGTTGTTCTGGTATTTGCTGTAGTGTTCCTGGGGGTCCGTTTTCCCGTTATAGGGCTGTATGTGTTGCCCTCGGTATTTCTCCGGGATCCGGGCCGCCAATACCCTTGGGGTAAATGGCGTCCGAGTCCGGAGTTGGATGACGGGTTCCCCGGAGCCCTCGGCCACCTTCTTCTGTAATTCCTCCATTTTGGCCATCATGGCCTCGTATTTGAGGTCTGAGTGAGGGGTGGAGGTGGTGGCGTGAGCTTTGTTAGACTCCATCTCGTCAAGCCGGCGTTGGAGGGCCGCAATAATCTCGTCCCGGGGATCCTTCGGGAGGGTCTCTGCCCCCTGCGAACGAACCCGGGCCGAGTGGGCCTGGTTGATTTGGTGTCGAGCATCATCGGCATGAAGGGGTGCCTTGCCTTTGTCCCGAGGGGGACGCTCCTCGTCTGCCCTCGAAACAGATCCCCCGTGTAACACCCCGGCCCCGTAGGCCCCGAGGTAGTTACTTCTGACCTCTAGTACTGTCCTCACAAACCGCCACTAGCCTTTTCCGCACACTTTGTCCTCACTCGTGCGCGCCCTGAGAAACTTCCCAGGGGGTCACCCATCCCAAGACTACTCCCGTGCAAGCACGCTTAACTTTGGAGTTCTTGGTGATGAGCTCCCTTAAAAGGAGATGCATCTTGTTGGTATGAGTAGTACTATTAATCCGTTTAAATTAAATCTCAAGTGTTACAATCACCCCCACTTAGGATCGCAACGTCCTCGTTGCGCCTTTAACAATCTCAATCAAACCCCAGAATCTTGCCCCGCTAAGTGCCCGCCCGATATCCAACGGGTCAACACACTGTCGCAGGGTTGCTCTGATACCATTTGTAACACCCCGGCCCCGTAGGCCCCGAGGTAGTTACTTCTGACCTCTAGTACTGTCCTCACAAACCGCCACTAGCCTTTTCCGCACACTTTGTCCTCACTCGTGCGCGCCCTGAGAAACTTCCCAGGGGGTCACCCATCCCAAGACTACTCCCGTGCAAGCACGCTTAACTTTGGAGTTCTTGGTGATGAGCTCCCTTAAAAGGAGATGCATCTTGTTGGTATGAGTAGTACTATTAATCCGTTTAAATTAAATCTCAAGTGTTACACCCCGCTTTCCTGGGGCCTTTGGAGTGCTTTCCCCCCGAGGCGGTCTTGGACCCCTCGGCGGTCTGGCCCTCCTCTGAGCCGGTTGAGGGCGGAAGTACGGGGCCTTTCCCTGTTGTCATTATGGCGGTCCCGGGACTGAACTTCCTGGGAGGATGTTTCTTGGGCCACCACCCCTTCGTCGTTTCTCACCCGAGGGGTGGGATTTCCGAAGGGGTGTGGCAGAGGGGGAAGTATGATATTTTCCCCGATCTGAGGGTGAGCTGGAGCCAGGGTGCCGAAGGCACCCGGGTTCTGGGTGAGCGTCTGGATGAAGGCGGAGAGCGCCGATTGCACGTCGATGGTGCGAACCGGAGGGCTGACTTGGTCATCGCTCCGGTTTTTCTTCTTGGCCTCGATGCCGAGGCGGGCATCGGGGGCATTTTGTTGGATCTGAAGGCGTAGGTCGACAGCCGCCTGTTCCAGCCCAGCGATGACACCGCCCTCGGGAGCCCTGTGAGAGGCTTCGGGGGCGTTGACGTCGTCGAGGGCCAGGTTCTTGTCTTCTACGTTCTTTGAGTTGGCACGTGTTGTCCTCACCATTTTGATAGAGGGCTAGTGTTTTGTGTTTGGTCGAGGGGGAGGGTTTCTTACTTGATTGTTCGAGCTCTCAACGAGAGCACCAAATGATGGATAGTCTACCCGGGGGTATATATCCGAAGGGTTATTACGGGGAATAACTTAGAGAGAAGTCAGAGCAAGTAAGTAAAAGTAGAGAGAGAAAATGTATTATAAATGCGGAGTGTTTTCAGCGTGTTATGACTTTGTTACAAATGGGGAAATGGGGTGCTATTTATAGTAGCAATAAATGCCGGGCAGGGACACGTGTCAAGCGCTCATTGGCCGAGGGGTCACCTCAACTGGTTGGCGCTGGCAACCGCATGTGGCCGCATTTAATGCGGCTGTTGGATGGGACGTCTGTGCAGGGTACGGTGATCTGCACGCATGTGAGGCGGATATCTTGTCGAGTGAGATGCCTTCGGCCATAGAGCAGTAGCCGAGGGCTCTTCCACCCGATGGCACCCTGGTGCCGAGGGCTCACAGTGCCGAGGGCTACTGTTTTCGCCGTTTTCTCCCAGTTTCTTAATTTGCTTGAGAAACCCGTTCTGTGAGAATTTAGAGCCTTCGGCCGGGGGGGCGAAGGCACCCCTGGCGCGTAGTGCGGGCTGCTTGGTACTCTGGGCGCTGTGATTTGGGCCTTCTGGGCCTTCTGGGCCTGTTGGGCCTTCGCTGGAGTAGTAGGAGTCTGTGGGCCGGGGGTTCCCGGGCCATATACTCCATCAACCCCGTTCCGGGGGTCTTTGACGGCCGTAGTAGCGATGTGCGTCCCCCCGCGGGTTGCTTGGGCCGTGTTGATGTGGCGACGTGTGTCATCCTCATGTAGTTTGCCCTTGCCTTTTTCAAGGCGGGGCCGATCCGCTATCTGGAATACGGACTCCAAGCTCTCCCTTGGTGAGCCAGGCTCACGTTCACCAATCCGTGCCACTGGCCTCTCCGATGTTGGTCAAAGATGCGCGTCCCCTAGCCTATTGAAGGCCGAGGCTCTACGCACCGGGGTCGGTCCAGCTCGACGAGGGGAAGCAGGATCGTAATGGGATGTCGTGTCCTGGGCCACGACCCCCTCTTTGTTGCCGACGTTCATGACCAGCGGGTGAGGAGGAGGAGGCGGTGTAGTGGTGTTCTCCCCGTCCTTGGCATCATTGCGCTGAGGACGGTGGGGTTCTGAGCCAGGCTGGCTATGTTGGCCGATACATGGGAGCAATCTGTTGCCCCGAGGATTTGTCGCCTTTCTCGATACGTTTTCTCTCAAGGCCGATGCAGGCGTCTTGAGCGTTGCCGTTAAGCTGATCTCGAAGGTCAGCCGTAGGGACGATCGTCTCATGGAAGATCTCCTCGTCCCCTGCCTTGTAGGCCTTAGCATCGCCGGAGCGTTCACGTTCGTCCTAAGTTTCAGGGATCGCTTTGGCGATGAGGTTACAGTTTGATCTTGCTCTTCCCATTTCAGTTAGCTTGTGCTTGGTAGCGACGAAGAATGCTAACTTGATTGTTCTAGCTCTCAATGAAAGCACCAAATGATAGACTATATGTCTAGAGAGAAGTGAGAACTAGAGAGAGAAATGATTTGTATTAAATGAGTTTTTGAACCCTTACAAGTTACAACTACTCCCAAAGGGAGTATTTATAGGGAATAGCGGGTTGGGCTCCCAAGTCTTGGGCTTGGGAGGCCCATTACAATATAAGGCCTCTATTGGGCTGATTACATTCGGATATATGAGCTAAGTATGGAAGTCTAGCAGATGAAGTCCTTGGAGACGTACGTCTGGCTGTGGCAGACGAAGTCCTTGGAGACGTACGTCTGGCTGTGGCAGACGAAGTCCTTGGAGACGTACGTCTGGCTGTGGCAGACGAAGTCCTTGGAGACATACGTCTCCCTGTGACAGACGTAGTACTTGGAGACGTACGTCTGGCTGACGGAGTGCTGAACTCCATTCGTTCCCGGGTGACTGTTACGTGCTGGAGGCCGTACGTCCCCGAGGCCTTCCTAAGTGCTGAAGGCCGTTCATCCCCGGGTGACTGTTACGTGCTAATGGGAAACAGACCCATATACTCTTTCAAAACTTTTCCGTGATAATTTTATTAATCGAAACTATTAATTAATGTTTACATATTCTTTTCACAATTCAGCAGGTTCAGTCAGAACTTCATCAATTCACGCAAATACAACCATTTTGAGTGTTAACAAACCGATTCTAAAATTTTGGAATAAAATTATTAATTTTTTTGTGTAAAAATTTTTTGGAACCAAACTAGTAAATAAAATTTTAACGAAACCAGTAAAACTTTTTTATATAGTCGATTAGTCGAATATAAATATCTTATTGTTATATACTCTGTAAGATTTATTTATACATTAAAATTTGCCAAAGTAGTAAAATTTTGGAGCAGAATTAAAAAGAGCCTTGGTATTATTTTTTTAACGGGAGTAAGACTAGGAGTGTTTTATGTTTAAACTTTAAAACACATATACTCCGTCCCAAACTTGCCTGCCAGGTTGGCAATCCGGCAAGTCCTCTCCCGCCATCCGCAGCCTTTGACCGTGACCTCATCATGAGTTCTTGCTTCTTCCTTTCTCTGAGAAACAAAACCAGAGAGAATGAAGAAAAATTTGACGGTTGCTTCTTGCCAGTTGGTTGCCCGCTCTCTCTATATAAACATAGTTCTACTCATACCCGTTTCCATTCCATCTTCAAATCCCCACTCTCATATCTTGATTTGTCGCAGAAAAAAATCCCAGACAAGACAGAGTCTTGTTCCTGCGAGCAATAAACCCAATTCAAGAAAGTGATTCTGATGTGGAGCTCGCCCTCGATCTATGGAGTCTGGTATGTGTTCTGATTCAATCATCTTGAATACCCTGTTTTAGCAAAAGTGCATCTTTCTTGAATAACAATAACCTTCTTTCTTGTTTCTTGATGGGGATGGTGATCGATGACTAAAACTGACAAATCAGAATTTCTTGAGATGATATATGAGCAAGAATAAATGTCAGGTATTATATATGTACATCTACTCATATCCGTTTCTTATCTTCAAAACCCGGCCAATTCTCATTTCTTGTTTCTTTTTTTGTCTCAGAAACAAACCCAGACAGCTGACAGAGTGATCTTGCTCCTGCGGGTAAACCCATGATTCTGATGCGGAGAGAATAACAATAACCCCATTCTTTCTTTAATCTTGATGTATGTGTTCTAATTCCATCTTGATCGAACATATACTATACCCTCTTTCAGCGAATTTGTATCTTTCTTGAATCTTGAATAACAATTACCTTCCTTCTTGTTTCTTGATGTGGCGCTGCAAAGTTAAGGATAGTGATGGATGACTCAAACTGAAAGATCGGGTTGCTTGAGATGATCGAGCTGTGGCAGAAATTCTTCTTGATGATTCCTGAATACAATTCTTCTGATGATTCTGTCATAGTTGCCATGACAGAAACTCTTCCTTTCCAAAGCTGCTGGTAATTAAACCCATGCCCTATTTTCTACTAAATAAACCGGATCTGTTTAATTTTCTGTGGAATTTATCCTCATACTTTCATTTATGCGTACCTATTCAGCTATTACTACGCCAATATTGTTGAACTCTTCTGAAAACGACCAAAAGCTAAATCATTTTGAGATTCCCCTTTATCTTTATCCATCCTTTTTTCTTTTTCCTAATCATCCGCACAATGCTAGCGGCTGTATCAGCAAAATAATTGGAATCATCCCTTCTACGTTCCTTATATATATGTATGTCCTAAGGGTTAATTATCAAAATAGGACTAAAAGTCACTCACTTTGCACAAATAGGACCAAAATATAAACTATGTTTTCATATGACTAATTATGTGTGTATTGGACAAATATACCCTTATAGCTATTGAAATTTTATAATTCATAATAAAATAATAAAAAATAATAAAAATTCGTAAAAAATACTAAAAAATAATAAAAATATTTCGAAAAAAATAATTTATTTATTTATTTATTTTCAAAAAATAAATAAAATAAAAAAAATTAAAAAAAAATTAAAACTCAAAAAAAAAAAATCACCGCCGCCTTTGCTGCCTCTGCACCACCACCTCCGGTCACCAGGAGAAAAAAATGCTAAGTTCATTACGAATGTCATATTTATGACAGAAAACAATGAAAATGTTGGCATTCGCAAAGAGAAATATGCCATGTTTTTGGCATTTTCATAAAAAAAATGGCAGTTTTTAGGGAAAATGACATTTATCACCGCCCCGGAGATGGTGGTGCAGGGAGGTAGTACAGGCGGTGGGAAAGGCATCCATATTATTTTAATTTTTTTATGGAGTTTTACTATTTTTTATTAATTCTTTAAAAAAATAATAAAAATAAAAAAAAATTATATTTTATTTTATAAATTTTTTATAATTTTTTTTTTAATTTTTCTACGATTTTTTAAATTTTTTCCGAATTTATTATGAATTAAACATTTAATTAACTCATATTTAAAGGAAGGGTAAGAATGGAATGAAAAAATAGGTATGTTTCCAATAGGACTAATATGGTCCTACTTTGAGTTTTTGACATAGTTTTAGTTCTATTTTAAGTAATTTCTATACAAGTAACTAATGAGGAGGGATGAGAACAAGTCTTGCATGATGGAATAAGGACCCATTCCCTTATTTATTGTATTAATGATCACAAAAATAATTCTTTAATTCTTGAAATTAAAGCATTTATTTTAAACTAATAAAAAGTATGATAGCAATGCAATCGATTTTATTAAACAACGGTACTTTTCAAATCAATGGAATACCATAAATATGCTACAAAGAACAAGAGTTCAATAGTCATCAAAAAATATGAATAAAATATACCCCAGTACTAGTCAATTAACATTCAAATAATCATCTTTTATTACAGTTAGATTACAAACCAATTTTCAGCCAAAAATGTTGGAGTGTTCACCGTTTATCAACAATTGATCACTAATTTCAAACCCGTCAGTGCTGCGAACAAGTTAATTCAGTTCTTACGTAACCTTATGATTTAATTTGTTCTTCATTACGTAACAGACTCGATTTGCTCCATAGATTTCTTTCCTAAATGAAATTCTTCTTGATGGTTGTTCATAGTGCAGCACTGAGGAGGATTATATGCCCATTGCAGAAAGCCGCCATTCCCTTGCAAAGCTGCCGGGGGTGGATTAACTTCATCTCTTCAGGTCCATATCCATATATAAACCAATGCTCGATCTGTTTTCTATGTAATAAACCGGTCCTGTTTATATGCATTTCTTGATTACTATCTGAAAATCCAGGAAAGAAATTAAAGTATGTTGAGTGATTATGCAACCAACAGACCTATCTGAAAATCCAGGAAAGAAATTAAAGTATGTTGAGTGATTATGCAACCAACAGACCTGATGGCCGGTGACATATATAGCAGGATTGCAAGAAAATATTATGTCAAACTCAAGGTGTAAATAACTCCCGAGTGAGTCCAGGGGCGGAGCTAGGGTGACCGGGTTAGGCTGGCTCACCCCAAATTTAAAAAATGCAAATATTTGTAGTGTAAAAAATTGCGTGTAAAATTTTTTCCAGTAATATTCTTTATACCGACCCAGTCTGACCCAGTGTCCTAGTTCTGCCCCGCTCCCAACCAAACATGGTGTGGAATGGTGGGGCCTTTAAATTCTCCTCGAATCCATTGGTTAAGAACACCCTTCCCTCACTGGAACCAAACTCAAATGCTTTGTACTGTGAAGCATTTAATGCCAGTAAGCTCCTTCAAAAAGCATTTTCCTTCTTCCACTCACTTGACAGGAACATGACTTGGGTCATTGCTTCTTGAGAAATTGATGAATCTAGTTAGTCAAGTATCTCCAAAATCACTTGAAGAAACACAAAAGATAGATGAAATTTTTAATTAATTAGACAACAAAGTGTTAAATTCCATATGAAATTATGAGATTGAATTGCAATTATAAAATTCAAAAACTTTAGAATATATAAAATTCATATCACTTCTTTAAATAAATTTAAACTGATTACTAACATTACTACTATAAATACATACAAGATTCAAATTTAAAGACAACAATAACCATGTTTAACACTTAAATAGTGTTTTTTAAGGGAGTCCCAAAATCTCTAAGCTTAAAAAATACAACATATGCCGATAGAATACAATACGACATATGTATTTACTAAAAGTTTTAAATAATAAGTTTGCCATATTTTTACATGCTAGACGAAGAAACAATTGGAGATCATTATTTCCTATGTCTTTGCATGCCTTAAACTCGTTGCAAAGACCCGTCACCCCATTTACAAAATCCTACACATGTACCACTCAAAAATATTCAATTTATAATTTTTGAACAAATTAACCTATGTATCCTAAATAAAATAAAAAAGATCAATTTAATCATTTACCTCATTATGTAAATCATATAAAGTATAACAATTAACCAAAGCCTCTTAAATTAGGGTTTAGGGTTTACGGTTTAGGGTTTAGGGTGTAGGGTTTAGGGTTTAGGGCTTAGGTTTAGGATTTAGGTTTAGGGTTTAGAGTTTAGGGTTTAGGGATTAGGGATTAGGGTTTAGGGTTTAAGGTTTAGGGTTTAGGGATTAGGGTTTAGGGCGTAGAGATTAGGGTTTAGGGTTTAGGGTTTAGGGTGTAGGGTGTAGGATGTAGGGTGTAGGGTGTAGGGTGTAGGGTTTAGGGTTTAGGGTTTAGGGTGTAGGGTGTAGGGTGTAGGGTGTAGGGTGTGAGGTGTAGGGTATAAGGTGTAGGGTGTAGGGTGTAAGGTGTAGGGTGTAGTGTGTAGGGCGTAGTCGTAGGGCGTAGGGCGTAGGGCATAGGGTTTAAGGTTTGGGTTTGGGGTTTGGGGTGTAGGGTGTAGGGTGTAGGGGGTAGGGTGTAGGGTGTACGGTTTACGGTTTAGGGTTTAGGGTTTAGGGTTTAGGGATTAGGGTTTAGGGTATAGGGTATAAGGTATAAGGTATAGGGTATAGGGTATGGGGTTTAGGGTTTAGGGTTTAGTGTTTGGGGTGTGGGGTGTCGGGTGTCGGGTTTAGGGTTTATGGTTTAGGGTGTAGGTTGTAGGCTGTAGGGTGTACGGTGTAGGGTTTAGGGTTTAAGGTTTAGTGTGTACGGTGTAGGGTTTAGGGTTTAGGGTGTGGGGTGTAGGGTTTAGGGTGTAGGGTGTAGGGTTTACGGTTTACTGTGTAGGGTGTAGGGTTTAGGGTTTAGGGTGTGGGGTATGGGTGTAGGGTGTAGGGTGTAGGGTGTAGGGTTTAGGGTGTAGGGTGTAGGGTGTAGGGTGTAGGGTGCAGGGTGTAAGGATTTAGGGTTTAGGGTGTACGGTGTAGGGTTTAGGGTTTAGGGTGTAAGGGTTTAGGGGTTAGGGTTTAGGGTTTAGGGTTTTAGGGTGTAGGGTGTAGGGTGTAGGGTGTAGGGTTTAGGGTGTAGGGTATAGGGTATAGGGGGTTTAGGGTTTAAGGTTTAGGATTTAGGGTTTAGGGTTTAGGGTGTAGGGTGTACGGTGTAGGGTGTAGGGTGTAGGGTTTAGGGTTTAGGGTTTATGGTGTAGGGTGCAGGGTGTAGGGTGTAGAGTTTAGGGTTTAGGGTGTAGGGTGTAGGGTTTAGGGTTTAGGGTGTAGGGTGTAGGGTGTAAGGGTTTAGGGTGTAAGGGTTTAGGGGTTAGGAGTTAGGGTTTAGGGTGTAGGGTTTAGGGTTTAGAGTTTAGGGTGTAGGGTGTAGGGTTTAGGGTTAAGGGTGTAGGGTGTAGGGTGTAGGATTTAGGGTTTAGGGCTTACGGCTTAGGGCTTAGCGTAAACCCGGTTTAGGGTTTAGGGTTCAGGGTTCAGGGTATAGGGTATAGGGTTTGGGGTTAGGTTTGGGGTTTGGGGTGTGGGGTTTGGGGTGTGGGGTTTGGGATTTGGGGTGTAGGGTTTAGGGTTTGGGTTAGGGTTTTGGGTTTAGGGTTTAGGGTTTAGGGTATAGGGTTTAGGGTTTGGGGTTTGGGGTTTGGGGTTTAGGGTTTGGGGTTTGGGCTTAGGGTTTGGGCTTAGGGCTTAGGTGTTACGCCTCGGACCTACCCGGACACGTCAACAACCCGCCGTACAGTATGTATAGTCATCCACAGTCTAACACATTCATACTATACAAGGCGTCTGGAATATCATTCACACGTAGTACATCCATACACAAACATAATGTAAAATATTCATAAAATTAGCGGAAACAATATTACAAGTGTTCAAGCCACACTTGGCAAACTTAGGCATACAAGCCCCCCAAATAATTATTCAGAAAAAATAATATCCATGAGCATTTATATAATTGTTTTCAAAACATGAACGGAGGAAGCACGGACCACATCTCCTCTCCTAGATATCCCCGAAGCAACGGGCGTTGGTAGCAAACTTGAACTTCTACCTGAAACTGTGAGGTTGCCTCCCCCGTGAAGGGAAGGTCAGTACTTTGAATCATTTGAAAAGTACAATGACAACTACACTGAATATAATCAATGTTTCAATTTCTAAGATCCTCAATCTAGGGTGATATTATATTAAGGTCATAATGTTGAACGAGTGATCAAGCTTGCATACACACGAGTTTACAACCATGCACACGTGGAAATTATCTATTTAGTCACTCATTTATTTATTTGTTTAGTCATTTGAATAAGTCTTTATTGTTGGCTTAATTGTAGGGGAGCATGATCAATCTGTTGTTATCATTTACTTTGAACGTGGGATAAGCCTAAAACTAAGGAGTTAGTTAAGGGCCTCACTCAGCACTTTCTTTACCTTTGTAAAGCCTACAAAGGCTAACTTCACTTTAATATACGTGGGTGAGTTTCAAGCATTCTGTTTTTATAAATATATAGCTCGAACTGACATTTGGTATCAGAGCTAGAGAGTTATCCAAGGGCCTAAATATTGAGGATCAAAAACAACAAAAAAAAGGAGAAAGAGTGAAACAATGCAGACTGCGAGTGGTAATAGAAATGGGAACTCTATCTCCCAATTGTCTATGTTTAAAGGTTCTAATTATCACTTTTGGAGTTTGAAGATGAAAACTCTCTTCAAGTCTCAAGAGCTATGGAGCATTGTTGATGAAGGGTTTGAAGATGGTCAACCGGATGAACCAGATCAAGCCTTGAGAGATAAGAGAAAGAAGGAGGTCAAGGCTCTTTATTTCACCCAACAAGCTTTGGATGATGAGGTCTTTCCCTGGATTGCAACAGCATCTACATCCAAGGAGGCTTTGTGTGTCCTGAAAAAGGAGTACATGGGTGACAAGAAGGTCATTGAAGACGGCTGCAGTCCTTGAGAAGGGAATTTGAGAATTCCAAGATGAAAGACAAGGAATCAGCCCAAGATTACCTCTCCAGGATCACAAATACTGTGCAGCAAATGAGATCTTATGGAGAGGAGGTTAAGACCAAGCAAGTGGTTAGTAAGGTACTTAGAAGCCTCTCAAGGAAGTATACTCCTCTAGTTTCTGCCATAGAGGAATCAAAAGATATGGATGTGTATACCTTTGATGAACTCAAAGGATCACTGCAAGCCTATGAAGAAAGGGAGTTTAAAGAAGAAGAAAGGGATGAAACAGCTTTTCAAGCCAAAGCTAACACCTCTCACCATGATAGAACTCAGCAATCTTCAAGAGGAAGAGGAAGAGGTCGTGACAGAGGAGGCAATAGAGGAAAAGGTCGTGGCAGAGGAGGCAAAGGCTATACTCCTGAGAGAAAGGATGAGCCAACTGGGAGCAGTTCAGAACCCCCCATTAAATGTTATTACTTCAACAAGCCAGGCCATAAAGAGGCCTCATGTTGGAAGAAAGAAGAGGATAAGGGAGAAGGAAGAAATGAAAGCAAGTCTAATTATGCTGAGCATGAAAATCTTTTCCTTGCTCAACATAATTGTGATTATGGAGCAAAATCAGTCTGGTATGTGGATAGTGGTTGCTCAAACCACATGACCAGTTCTAGGGACATGTTTATGGACCTAGATGACTCTAAGAAGAGTATGGTGAGGCTTGGAGATGGCAAGCAGCTTTCAGTTGAAGGACAAGGAACTATTGAGCTTCCAACTGAGCAAGGAAGGCCCAAATTACTGCACAATGTGCATTATGTTCCTAATCTGGGCCATAACTTGTTAAGTGTGGGTCAACTTATATGTGGTGGCTACAGAATCCTGTTTGAGGATGGTATGCGTATCATCAAAGATAACAAGCAAAATGAAGTGGTGATGAGGATACCAATGGGAAAGAACAATGTCTTTCCATTGGACCTAACCAGAAATGCAGGCCAAGCTCTTGTGGTGAAAGGAGATGAAAATGCAAAGCTATGGCATCTCATGTATGGTCACCTCAATAATCACAGTCTACAACTACTAAGTTCAAAGGAATTCGTGCATGGACTGCCTAGCATTAGAGTACTGGAATTCTGTGAAGGATGTGTGTATGGAAAGCAAGCTAGAGGTTCATTTCCAAGTGGCAAAGCTTGGAGGGCTAGTGAGTGCTTGGAGTTGATACATGTTGATCTCTGTGGGCCCATGCAAACTGAGTCTTTGGGTGGTAGTAAGTATTTTTTTCTACTTACAGATGACTATAGTAGAATGCCATGGGTGTATTTTCAAAAGTCTAAGTCAGAAGCTTTTGAAAATTTTAAAAAATTTAAGGTTTTGGTAGAAAAACAAAGTGGTCTGCAGGTGAAAGCCTTAAGAACTGATAGGGGAGGTGAGTTTGTCTCCAAAGAGTTCAGCCAATTCTGTGATGATCATGGCATAAGGAGAGAGCTCACTGCACCCTACACCCCTGAGCAGAATGGAGTGGCTGAGAGGAAGAACAGAACCATTGTTGAAATGGCAAGGTGTATGATGAAGGTTAAAAGTCTGCCTAACTCATTCTGGGGTGAGGCAGTTGCTACAGCTGTTTACATTCTTAACATCTCACCTACTAGGGCAGTGATGAACTCAACACCATTTGAAGCTTGGAGACAGAAGAAGCCCTCAGTCAATCATCTAAGAACATTTGGGTGCATTGCCTAAAACTTGATGAATCTGAGAACCAAGTTGGATGCTAAAGCTGAAAAGTGCATCTTTGTTGGTTACTCAACTCAGTCAGAGGTTTACAGACTGTATAATCCACTCACAAGTAAAGTGGTTATAAGCAGAAATGTAATCTTTGATGAGGATGCAAAGTGGGATTGGAGTCAAGCCAATCAAACTGATGGAAGCTTGAGAAGGATAGAGGAAATTGATGACCCTATTGATGATCCTCTACAACCTAGTCCTCCTTCAACTCCACACAGCTCATCTACCTCCTCAAACAACCAAAGTTCTCCTTCATCATCATCAAGTGAATCAGGTGAATCCCCTCCACGCAGAGTTAGAACATTGGTTGATATCTATGAAAATTGTGACTTTGCTCTAGTTGCTGCTGAACCCACAGATTTTGATGAAGCAATCATTCAGCCAGAGTGGTAGAAGGCCATGGAAGAGGAAATAAGTGTTATAGAGAAGAATGGTACTTGGGAACTTGTAAGTCTGCCCAAGGAGAAGAAAGCTATAGGCCTAAAATGGGTCTACAGAACAAAATACAATCCGGATGGTAGCATATCAAGGCATAAAGCTAGGCTAGTAGTCAAGGGCTATGCACAGCAAATAGGTATAGATTATGAGGAAACCTTTTCACCAGTTGCCAGGTTTGAAACTATGAGGGTTGTCCTAGCTTTAGCTGCACAATGGAGGTTACCTGTATTCCAATTGGATGTGAAGTCAGCATTCTTAAATGGAGAACTTCAGGAGAAGGTATTTGTAGAACAACCTCGGGGTTTTGAGAAGGAGAATGAACCAGAAAAGGTGTATAAGCTACAGAAAGCACTATATGGTTTAAAACAGGCTCCAAGAGCCTGGTACAATAAGATTGAGTCATTTTTCATAGCTAGTGGATTCACTAGAAGTGATAATGAGCCAACATTTTACATAAACAAACAAGGTATGGATCAGTTCATTGTTGTGTGTCTTTATGTTGATGATATAGTATACTTTAGCTCCTCATAAAGTATGCTACCAGATTTTAAGAACTCAATGAAGCAGAAGTTTGAAATGACTGATCTAGGAGTTCTGCAATACTTTCTTGGCTTGGAAGTAAAGCAGAAAAAGGAGGGAACTTTCTTGTGTTAGAGAAAGTATGCTATGGATTTACTCAAAAGGTTTCATATGGAGAACTGTGAGATAGCCAAAACTCCTATGAATACCAATGAGGAGCTGCAGAAGTGTGATGGAACTGAGAAAGCAAATGAAAGATTATTCAGAAGCTTGGTTGGGGGACTGAATTATCTAACACACACTAGACCTGACATTGCACACAGTGTCAGTGTTGTGTCTAGGTATCTGCATTGTCCTACTAATCAACATTTTGGTGCAGCCAAAAGAATTCTGAGATATGTGGTAGGAACTCTTGGTGTAGGCATATGGTATGAAAGTGTAAAACATTTCAAACTGAGACGTTATAGTGATAGTGATTGGGCAGGTTGTATTGATGATAGAAAGAGCACCTCAGGCTCAGTTTTTGACCTTGGTTCTGGAGCCATTACATGGAGCTCCAAAAAGCAAGACACTATTGCTTTGTCTACCTCAGAGGAAGAGTATATTGCTGCAGGAGCTGCAGCAAAAGAAGCATTGTGGCTGAGGAAAATCCTGAAGGATTTGTGTTGTGAACAACTGGAAGTTCCAGAGATATGGTGTGATAACATGTCAACTATTGCAATGACAAAGAATCCGGCATTTCATGCTAGAACAAAGCATATAGATGTGCAATATCATTTCATAAGGAAGCTTGTAGCTGAAGTGAAGATAGCCCTGCAATTCTGTGGAACTGAGTTTCAAAATGCAGATCTATTCACTAAAGCTTTGACTCAAGTCAAGCACCAGTTTTTCATGGAAAGGATTAGGATGACAGGCTTGGATTAAGGGGAGGTGTTGAACGAGTGATCAAGCTTGCATACACACGAGTTTACAACCATGCACACGTGGAAATTATCTATTTAGTCACTCGTTTATTTATTTGTTTAGTCATTTGAATAAGTCTTTATTGTTGGCTTAATTGTAGGAGCATGATCAGTATGTTGTTATCATTTACTTTGAACGTAGGATAAGCCTAAAACTAAGGAGTTAGTTAAGGGCCTCACTCAACACTTTCTTTAGCTTTGTAAAGCCTATAAAGGCTAACTTCACTTTAATATAAGTGGGTGAGTTTCAAGCATTCTGTTTTTATAAATATATAGCTCGAACTGACACATAACCCTCGATTACCCTATTTGAAAACATACTTGCTTTATATAAAGTCAAGTAGATGGCCCGTGGGCCCAAATTCGTTTAGAATTTACCATTTCCATTCCCCGTGACCCCAACCCACGACAACCCTATAGGGTTTCATCAAGCCCCGATTGCATAGCAAGGGCTCGGCCCAACTACATTTCTATACAATCCTTTAACTCAATTCAATACATCACGATTGCATGGCAAGGGCTCGGTCCAACTACGTTTCCATATAACCCACAACTTCATGGCAAGGGCGCGGCCCAACTACATTTCCATGAAGGTCACAAATACATGGCAAGGGCTCGGTCCAATCACGTTTCCATGCAAATCATAGCACATGGCAAGGGCTTGGCGCAACTACGTTTCCATGTGAATCACAATTACATGGCAAGGGTTCGGCTCAACTAAATTTCCATGTAATCCTAGTGTCATGCTCTAATTCATTATCATAGTCCAATTCTCAAGCAAATCATATGCCTAGAATCCATTCATTTGGAGTAGCCTTTAAGGCCTACTCTTAACATATTTTAGGGTTCACACAATTCGACCTTAACGTATCTCTTAAGACTACTTAAGGCATCACTACTCACAATCCAATCTCTTAGGATTAATTCCATCTTTATTCATATCAATCTCCCGACTAGTATTTTAATACTAGTCGGATAATATTAGAACAACCAAGTTCATAATTCATAGTCCAATGATTCATTTCCAATGATTTTCCAATCCAACTATAATTAAATCTCAATATCAAAAATATCCCTTGTATCCATTCATGAATTCTTTACATGAAGTAAAAGTATATTTTATCACAATATTTGATAATAAATTCCAACTATCATGCCATCATATTCTTAACACATAATCATACACAATTTCTCTAAATTTGTATATCATGCTTCATTTACTCATATGCAATAGTATTTTCATTTAGGCATTATTAATCATTAATAATCCATGAAAATCACATTTAATACTTTAGGTAATCTTATGAAATTAACCCAACAATTATAAGCAATATAGTCAGTCATCCTCACCTTATAGAGTGCTTAACTAGTTGCCTTTGCGAAGTCCTTCGATCAATCCCCGTTCCAGGCCGATTGAACACAAAAACTGGACTGCTGGGCAAAAGCCGAGCGGCTTTCACAAAAGCCGGGCGGCTTTCAGGCTGCTGCAATACAGGCAACCTCCTTTCCTTGGCGGTTTCCGGTGGTTTTGACACCTATCAATTCACCAACTCTTCTAAATTAAATACCACCACTTTATATCAATATTCTACACTTTTAAACGTATAGAACATCAAATTTACTCTACCATATGATTTCTTAAAAAATCATACACAAAAACTAGTTAGAAGAACTATTTGAGTTCTTACCTTGATTTCTAGCCTTTTGTGTTGGGTTTTCTTCCCTTCTTGCTTTCTCCTAGCTTGAGCTCTATGAGAAGCTTTCCTGGAGTCCTTTTTCAATGGTTTTGGTTGAGTGGATTGCAAGAGGATAGGGGGAAGTGTTGGGGTAAAACACGTAGAAGGTGATAATCGAGTACTTGGATTGCTTAAGGATCGTGTAAGTTCACTTTCCGAATTGATATTTCTTTCCTATGTCTGGGTTACAAGAAATTCAATCTAGGATAATCCTTAAAGACACTCTAGAACTTAGGCACAAGAACTAGAGCCAAACTAGTGAGTATATGGATTGATATCTTAAGTTGAATGCCAAAAATGATGATGATGTATTGGATATCTTTCCTCATCCTTCTCTGTACGAAATATGGTGATATATAACCATATTACACGTCCTGGGCAGTTGCAACACGTTCTAGAATAACTGTGACAGTTTTTGGAAAAACTGCATGAAACTGCCCAACCGCTCTAGACCTCGGTCTAGAACTACAGAGTTGGTCTACTGAGTGTTCTACCTCGAGTTCCACTGCCGTAGACACTTTGGAATAGAACTCATTCTTATATACAAGTGTGCACTCCACACCTCCTAGCTTGTATTAGAACACGGTTCTAATCCTCATTGGCACTCATGTCATTTCCAATTACACAAAACGGTCGGTGACACTAAAATCACCAACAATCCTCCCCCATTTTAGTGTAACCCATGAAATGACATAACAAAGTTCACAAACCAAAACTTGCACATAAATGGAAATGTCGATACGGTTGAATTTCCATCTTAGTATTTTACACATTCAAAATATTCGAGAATCGGGGTGTCCTACGGATTGAACCCTTCAACCCATTTGAATACCTCAAGATAAAATACATACAAGTTTCTATCCTCAACTAGAATACAACTTGACACAATTATAAAGTCGTGTGTCCTAATCCCATTCATGATCGTATAAAAGCCAAGTCCTAAGCTTTTTCAAGTGCGGCTACACATCACGATCATATAGGTAATTCCTTTACTCGTGTACCTGCTTACACTTTATCAAAGGAATTATTAAGAAATAAATTCAGACTTCCTACTACAGGTCCGAACACACACCTTGGGATGATTTTCATTGTGTGTTCCAATCCATTAAGTGTGAGCTTTCCGCATTGAATTCAGCCTCTAACGTTGTATTAGAGGGGAATTGGGTGTCTCACCATTAAGGATTAAATGGACTTTAAACTCATCCCTATAACAGACTTGTGCACTAAGTCCCGGGCCAAACTTTTGGTCAAGTGGTCCGCCAAGTTATGTTGCGATCTTACAAATTCCAACGAAATTACACCATTCATGATTAGTTCTCTAATCATAATATGTCTAACACCTAAGTGTCTAGACTTGCCATTATAAACATGACTATACTCCTTAGCCAAAGTGGCAGCACTATCACAATGGATAGAAATAGGTGCAATCGGCTTCCTCCACAATGGAATCTCAAATATTAAATTTCTTAACCACTCCGCCTCTTTACCGGCGGTAGCCAACGCAACAAACTCAGATTCCATTGTTGAAATTGTGATACAAGTTTGCTTCTTGGATGCCCAAGAAATGGCACCTCCCTCAAGCAAAATACCCAACAACTTGTAGAAGAATGATCCTCTACATTGGATATCCAACTTGCATCCGAATATCCTTCTAAAACCGAAGGATACTCAAAGTAACACAAACCATAATCTATGGTTCCCTTTAAATACTTGAACACTCTCTTCATTGCTTGCCAATGTTGAGTACTAGGATTACTAGTATAACGGCTCAACCTACCCACGGCATAAGCAATATTCGGCCTAGTGCTTGTCATGGCATACATCAAACTACCAATAGTTTGAGAGTACTCAAGTTGTGAAACCGCCTTTCCTTTATTAGGCATCAACTTCACACTAGGATCCATGGGAGTACCAACGGGTGAACAATCACTATAATTAAACCTTTTGAGAATATTATCAACATAGTGAGCTTGTGTCAAAGCAATCCCTTTGTTTACCCGTTTAATCTTTATACCAAGGATCACATCTGTCTCCCCCATGTCCTTCATGGAAAACCTTGATGATAACAACCTTTTGGTTTCATCAACCTAATTTTGGTCAGTTCCAAAAATCAGCATGTCATCAACATAGAGACATATGATCACACCCGCCTTTAAGGCATCAAATCGGCTATAGACACACTTGTCCGATTGGTTTAAACTAAAATCATTGGACAAAATAACTTCATCAAACTTTTGATGCCATTGTTTGGGTGCTTGTTTCAGCCCATCTTCTTTTGCCATCTACGAAAATCGTTCCCTTGAAACTTGTCCAATTTGTTGAACTTGGATGTCATCTCTTCCACGGTACTCATGATTATCACAAAGAAAATATCAATTCGATTGTTGGGGTAAAACACGTAGGGGGTGATAATCGAGTACTTGGATTGCTTAAGGATCGTGTAAGTTCACTTTCCGAATTGATATTTCTCCCCTATGCCTGGGTTACAAGAAATTCAATCTAGGATAATCCTTAAGGACACTCTATAACTTAGGCACAAGATCTAGAGCCAAACTAGTGAGTATATGGATTGATATCTTAAGTTGAATGCCAAAAATGATGATGATATATTGGATATCTTTCCTCATCCTTCTATGTACGAAATATGGTGATATATAACCATATTACACGTCCTGGACAGTTTCAACACGTTCTAGAATAACTGTGACAATTTTTGGACTTGGGTTGCCCAAACATTTTCCTCAACTTTAGTAGGCATTTTATTGGGCTTCTAAAATTATTACGATGACCCAACAAAATATTTGGTAGTTCATTCTCAATATTACGGGCCCGATAAATAATTTAATTAATCATTCATTAGTTAAATCCATCATTCTTTTACACGAAATTATTCGCTAGGAAATTCAAATACATATTGAATTTTAAATTCAAGTACATCCGGGAACGGTGTCACATTAGAGCTTAGGACTTGGAGCTTGGGGCTTGGGGTCTGGGGTGGCTTAAGGCTTAAGGTCTAGGGTCTAGGATCTAGGGTTGAAAAAATGACACAAATATGACTATTTTTTTTTTACAAAAAACTGACCAGCGGTTCTTTAATTGACGTAAGGCATCGACGCCAGCTTCTCACGCCAGAACATCTACACAAAGCATCTTTCATGCTAGAGCAGCAATCTTTCCTCCACGCAGAGCAGCCATCTCTTCGCGCACAGAGCAGCAATCTCCTCTGCGAACAGAGCAGCTTTGCCGCTTCCTCTGATGTGTTGGCCGTCTCCATCGCTTGTCGCTTTGGTTGTCACATGTCGCCATCGACCGAGCATGGTATCATCGTCGGGCGTCTCGCTCGCGTTCCCTGCCACCGATCTTCTTCTCCTTTTCAATTTCTTTCGGATTGTAGGCAGGGGCGGACCCACTCTAGGGCTAGGGTGTGCCCATGCTCCTGCGGTGATTTTTATTTATATATATATATATATATATTGGAAAATACTCAGATCCAGCACCTCCCGGTCCGAACACCGTCCGAACACTGCCGTTTGGGGAGGTTTCGGGTGGAATTTTTTGATGAAATTTTTTAAACATGTTTCTCATGAAGTCTAGTTTATCCATACCAAATTTCAGGTCAAAATTCGATCGGGAAGGCAGTCAAATAACTCGTTGAAGTTAACTGCGTTTTTCTATGTATAATTTGGCGCAGTTAACTTCAACGAATTATTTGACTGTGTTCCCGATCGAATTTTGAGCTGAAGTTTGGTATGGATAAACTAGACTTGATGAGGAACATGCACAAAAATTTTCATCAAAATATTCCGCCGGGAACCGCCTCAAACACCGGTGTTCGGACGGCGTTCGGACAGAAAAGTGCTGGACAGAAAAGTTATGCCGATTGAGACTTATGATGTTAATATTAGAGATGAGTTGAGGAGACGTTATTTGAGAAAAGGTCATTGCCAACCGCGTGACTTTAAATTTCCACAAAGTGATTTTAATGGGTGCAACAGATCATTCCAAAAACCGTGGTTTTATTTAAATTTTATAGTTTTGTTTATTGCTATACTCGTGATGCATATGATTTTTTCTAGACTAGTATATCATTTCTTTGTTATTGTGCCCCTACGAGTCACGAGTCCTGGTTCCGCCACTGATTGTAGGGTCCAAGGGGCAAAGAGGATTTTTAAATCTAGATCCGGAGTGGCGGTGGCAGCTAGGGTACGGTTAGCAAGGTCGTGGTAGGGCTGGCGAAGACGTTGTGGGGTCTGGTATTGGCTGGTGGGGTAGTGGTGGAGAAGAGGTTGCCACTGGCCGCTGCTGGTGGCTGGGTCTGGTACGGTGGTTGTCACAATCTGTTGGGCAGGGTGGGGGACAGATCTGAGCTTGATTTGGGGCTTGGGGTGGGGAAGTGGTTGGAGGTGACTAGCTGAGAGGATGGGGAAGGGTGTGACGGCTGGGGAAGAGGGTAGGGCGGGGAGTGCATCCGAGAAGGAGCTTGGGAGGGTTGTTGGGGCAGGTCAGGGGCGAGACAGGGGCAGGGTCTGGGTGCTGGGCGATGGGGAGGGGCAGGGTAGATGGCAGCGGGTCGGATGTTGGCCGTAGATGGCACTGCAGCGGATGGTGGCGGTAGATGGCATTGCAGCGGATCGAATGATGGTGGTAGATGTCATTTTCACCCGAAAAAGTAGCTGACAGCGTCATAGTGGTTACGCATGAGGAGAGTAAATGGGAAAATAAGATGGATCGAGACGGAATGAGGTTACAACGCCAAAATTATAATGTAATCAGAATTTATTTGGGTAAAATACTTATAAAGATTTGTAAAATAAGAGATGTTGTTACAAATTTTTCTAGGGAATTTTATCCCGAAATTCAATCACTTATCTTTACAATCACTTTTATCAAATTTTCCTAAAATATGTTTTCCTTTCCGAATATCCCATATTGGAATGTTTTTTGATATTAACAATCTTTTTTTGAACATACGTTTCTCTAGCTTTAAAACAATGAGACTATGAGGTCACCTTATAAGTCAACTTATATTACCCCAATTTAACAACGTACCAACTAATCTAAACGGTTTTAACCACTTCTTATTCTTAGCAAATTCTCGATCCATCTTTAACAATTCGTCGATTTGTGAAACAGAACCAACGGTTTGGGTTCCAAATTTTGGAAGAACCAAACTGATGAAAAATAGATGAAATAATGCTATTTAGCGAATTTAGCCAACTAAATGAGAGTATTAACTTTAAATATATTTATTTTAATTTCTATGCAACTCATTGTACAAAAATACTATGTATACATCTCAAACCAAACATTTCAGCCCAGCTGATTGCGAGTTTACCGTGTCTAGTGGGAGGTCTCGAGTTCGAAACTTGCTAGGCACATAAGGGTTTGAAACTCAATGAAGTGAGTTTCAATCATGATTACTCCAGACTTCCCCAAGAAAATTCTTTCCACTTTGACTTGGCACGGAGATTAAGAAAGTGGAATAAAGTGAAAATGTGTAGTTGTGTAAGAAAAATGTGAAATGAACGTGAATCACGCAAATTGTTCAAAAATGGTAAGTGGGAAGAATTTTTTGGAACGATCCAAAAAGGAAAGTGAAAAGAATTTTATGGAATAGAGGGAGTATATGTTTTTTGTATATTAGTGGTTCATAAGGCTGAAAAGCCAAAACAAGAGTTACCAAATGAGCTATGCATGCGTTTTTTTATGCACTTTTAATGCATTTTTTACATATTTGGAGGCATTGGATCTTAAATCCAATGCTCGAGATTTATTCATATTTTTCATGGCAAGGACTATTTGTATTTGATCATATATATACAAATTAAATCTATCATGGGAGTCTCGGACGGGACTGAAATTAGGGATGGACTGGGCCGGGCCGAACCGGCCCGAAACCGAACCGGCCCAGTACTGTTTGGGCCCGGACCGGACCGGTACCGGTTGGCCAGTTCCGGGCTTTTAGCCCGTTTGGGCGGGTCGGGCAGGCCGGGCTCGGGCCCAGTTTTAGGCGAATCGGCCCGGGCGGTTCAGACCGGGCCCGGGTCTTTTTTTTCAATTTTTTTTCTTTTCCTAGGCTAGGGCTGGATGTTTTGGGGAGGTTTGGGGGGTCGGGGGATAACAAGAAAGCAAAAAAAAAAATAGACATCGAACCGGGCCCGGCCCGGCCCGGTTAGGCCCGGACCCAGTATCAACCCGGGTCGGTTCCGGGCCCATGAATTTGCAAAAAAAGCCCGCCCGGGCCCGGCCTGGAACCGGCCCGGGTCCATCCCTAACTGAAATAAGTCTAAGAAAAAATATTCCAACATGGCCACATGCAACGTACGTGCTCACTAGTCATGTAAAAATGGGACAGAACACGTCCCATAATGATAACCATAACCACCAGATAAATAAAATTAGATTATTCCAATAACATGTCCACACAAAGTTTACATACTCAAGCCCGATCGAATGGCAAATGGAAAGCGACAAAATTTGAAAGCACGAAAATATAAACTATAACACCTCTTCAGATAGAAGCAGATCATAAAGGTTTTCCAGGTACCATAGAATGTATGTTCGTTCTCCCTTGAAAAGGCGAAAAAGATATACATAGCAACGAAAGAGGCAGCCATGGTTTATCGCATCCAAATTCTTGAGAACATTGGAAGTCTGCACACAAAATATTTCCATTAGCAGAGAATTTGAGGATATCACCAAAGGGAACTTCGGAAAATACTCGAGAAAAACAAAAATGCAGTTAAGCAGCACTAATGTACCATCATCACCACAAGAAAAAAAGACCCATGTGATTATGGACATCTTACCAGAAACCACAAATGAAGTATCAGTTTGTAAAAATCCTGGTTTCTAATGCCTAAAAAAACACTACTTAGACAGAAATATGTCGGCCATAAAATCCTCAACCACTAGGTACCGCTACTGTTATTTACCTAATTACCTTTTCCAGATAGACATGTAAAAAGAGTAAGCCAGTAAGCCACACCAAAATCTCCAGCATTTAGAGTCAAACACTCCTTCAATCACTGCCAATTTATTGAAAATAACCACGCCAAATGGAAATAAAAGCTTCATTGCATATTAAAGAACATGCGGATTAGCTTCAAGAACAGAAACAGTCAAAAATACAAAAAGACTCAAAACGTAGGGTATTCTAGATCCATCAAAAGAATTATAAATTATGAAGATACTCACATTTTATGACAACCATCATCATGCTCAATCTTGTATGGACCAATTTTTTACTAACTGTATTGAACTGTTTGAGAATATCCCAATATCTTCCTGGCAAGAGGAACCAGGCAAACTAAGGCTATCTGAAGCTGTTCAGAGCTGGTCAGGCGAAGACTGACTTGTCCAGAACCTCTATTGTTAATGTTGACGCGACCAATCAAGTTTGTATGTCGCCCAACCGGGATTTGAGTCTGAGAATTGCATCCAATAGCAAGATCGCCATGCCAATCCATAAGTGAAAGTCCAAGAGTAGAGAGAAAACGGCCGAGCGGATGGTCTTTATCTCTCAATGTAGCTTCCAAGCAGCCACCATAAGCAACATCACCACGCCCGAACATGGCACCACCAGAAATGACAATCTGGCCACGCTTGCTAACAATCAACTTGTCCTCAACCTTAACCCCCCCAGTTATGGCATCACCCAAGAGAGTTGCCGAAAGACCAGCAGTTGCCTTGTTTCTTCGGAAATTGATAAACTTTGTCTCAGTGCGAAATGTATAAGCAACATCCTTACCAAGTGACTGCATATCTAAACCTAGAGAGGTTACTTTCCCATTACCATGTTTCAATGAACTAGCTATTTCCAATTGTAGATTACTGTCTTTTTTATCCTTTGATGCTTGACCAGAGAGAGATATCGGGATCTTCTCTTTGATCACAAACATCCTTTCAACATTTATCCCCTCATAGCCAATATCATGGTCCCAACCTTGTGAGTCTAGGACAGGCCTCACAAGCCACTGATTTGAAGAATCAAGGCAACGATATCTATGAGTTGGATTATCAGAATCAAATGATGCGGGTAAGGCCAGGTCTGGCATGGGCACAGGAACAGAAGCTGCACCATTAATATCCTCATCTGCAATTTCAGTAGGATGGGAATGCACATCTTTAGTGGCAGCTTGCATTTTAAACAATTTACGCCGCCTTCTCTCCTCCTTCAACTGATTCCTCATCAATAGTTTTTCCCTATACTCTAGCTCATCAAAATATGCCTTCCTTTGCTCTTTTGTTAGTTTCCCTAACTGGGCTTTGGTCAAGCATTTAAATGGAGGCAATTTATCATATTCAGACTCCTCTTCTGAATCTGACTCATCCAAATCATCACCAAAGGTCTCATCATCATCTCCAAATTGTTCAGTTGGCAATTTAACTTGTGGTCTAGATTGCAGAAGGGATGAGAGTAGAAACGGTAATGGGGGTGATCTTGATCGAGAGGCAAAGTTCCTCCCGGGTGGGCTATCTTGCAACTTTAGAAGTGTATTTGCTTCGGCTAAAATTTTGGAGGCAAAGGACAGAAGCAACAAGTGAGGCTTCCAAACCTGACCATTTGGCAACACTCTTTGCCCAGCTCTATTGGTCCTGCACGCAGAGTGATTCTCCACCAAAGAAACAGGGTTCATGAGGCGCATATCTCCAGCTGCTTGACGAATAGCTTGCTGCACAGCATGTGAACGCTGAGTTACAAACATGTCATAGCTTGTGACTGTCCCATTAGGGCCCTCAGGCGGGGCAGAGGCAGCATGTGTCAAAACGACAATAGCATTAAACCATATAGATGGTCCGAATATATCTGTTATAGTCCGTAATAATGGCATGTCCCCATAATCTCTGCTCTGAGTATCCAACCTATCAAGATACAGAACAATATCTGGGGGTGTTTTCTTAATAAAGTTTTTGACAGAATGCAGTGTCTTCTCATTCTGTCGCTGGTCCGACCATGAAGGCAGAAGTCCAGGCGTGTCAATTACCCGGACCTTGATCCCCTGCACAGTTCCAATAACATCTTGAACCTTCTTTGTTCCAATCTGGAAAGCATCTGTTCCAAATTTTCCCTCATCAAATATAGAATTAATGGTTGCACTTTTACCGACTCCTGTCTTCCCAAGTACCATGATCGTGCAAGAGAAATCTAAGGGTTCCTGTCCGGCTGCCTCGAGCTGCTCTGCCATACCACTAGCACGATCAAAGCTAAAAGGAGCAACACGGCCTCCATTTCTCCCTCGTAATTGTTCAGCTAACCCAAGTCTGTACAACACCTGAGCAACAACAACATTGTGTGGAGTCTGCCCAAGCCGATGGGCAAGCCGCAGAAATTTAACTCGAATCATCTGGAGTTTTTCACGTGTTTCATCACATTCGTCGCTCTCAGCAGTCGTAGACTCCTCAATAAGTTGGCTTTGCACCGAAGAGGGTGCTCCATTCACTCGAGGTTGTGGTGCTACTCGAGGCGCAGGTTCCAGCAGTGGGGCAGCACGCCCAAGGCCAGCTGGGGTGGGCGTAGGAGTTACAGATGTCGCGGAGGAAGACAAATGTATTGCAGATGCTGGGGAGGAAGATGAATCTGTTTCAGATTCAGTGTCCTCTTGCCTTCTCTTAGGAGCGGTTAGCTTCTCTTCGACATATATTACTTGCTTATTGTCAGGCTCCTTATCTTGTGCATTGGGGATCTCAAGGGCAGCATTCACAACTTGAGGTTGAGAATGCTTTGAAAAGTTTACAGCCACATTAGAAGAACCAGCGGGGGAGACAACATTGCTATCAGTGGAATCATTAAATGGATGGGCATTACCAACTTCTGGACTGGTTGCTTTATATCCCACTGAAATACCCCCCTCATGCCCAGTATCTGGAACAGGTACACTTTCTTTGGAATCTGCAGGCAGCTTGAGGCTTCCAGCTTGGTGGTACAGAACTCCATTATTATTCTGGACATCCTTGTGCTTGTTCTCCTGAATACATATGGGTGACTCCAGTGAAATATTGGGTGTAAGGCTGAAAACAGCATCATCTGTGATTGCTTTACATTCCATTGGAGTGTCCTCATGGAGTTCAGTAGTTAGATCCGGGAATTCTTCCGCTTTCAATTCTTTATGTAATTTAAAGCTTCCTTCATTGTGGAAACCTGAAGCTGCACTATCATTGCATTGTATATCCCTCTGCTCTCCATTACTTTTACACTGAACCAGTGATTCAAGTTCTGGAAATTCCTTCTGTTCTCCATTACTTTTACCCTGATTCCATGATTCAAGTTCCGGAAATTCCTTTTCCTTAATTCCGTCATTGAAGAGCATGTTTTCTCCATGAACTGAAGTATCACTTGGGGAAGCATCCTTCCATTCATCAATCTTACCATCTGCTTCCAGAAGCATTGAATCTCTTTCTTCCATATCAGACTGTTTATCGCCCTTGAAATTGGTGGCTGTGATAACTGAGTTGCAAGTGGGAACATGAACACTGTCCTGAACTCCAGTAACAGCTGTATCAGAAATCTTCCTCGCAAAAATATTTTTTTCAGATCGAAGCAAAACATCTCTGTAAGACGCAAACTTCTTCTGGGAATTCCCGTCACCTCCTTCAAATTCATGGACGTCTTGCCTTTCCAACTTTTCATCAAGTTTTCCTTCATCTGCTGTCATTGCACAATTGTCACGGACACACGATATAGTTTCTCCAGGACTCAAATGACTCAAGGCTCCATTTTCTGAATCATTTGAAACTTCAATCGGTTTTTCATTCACTCGCTTTGCAAATAAAGAAGTACCAGTTTCAACATTGTCATCTAAATCAGCCACTTGCATCATAATTTTATTGCCACACTCAACAGTATCAGAATTCTCTGATTGTTCAGTTTCACCCATTGCTAATTGATTTGAAAAAGCGTCCTCAGTTTCCTGAACCTCTATTTTCCTATCAGTCCCATCAAGAACACTTTGAACCACAGGAGTAGGGGCCTCAACAGCCTCCTCAAACTTCTCATCATCCTCGATGGAAGCTTCAATTGCCTCCTCAAACTTTTCATCATCATCTATCAATTCTAATTCCTTCTCATCCTGCAAGTAGCTAATAATACTATCCACATTTTCAGCCTTCCTGCCTTCAGTAGCAAGTTCATCAGTAACCTCCAAAACAACACTGGGTGTCTCCACTGCAATTCCCTCAGGATAAGCTTCATTTCCATTCGAATCAACAGTCATCTTCTCTTCTACAGGCTGCTCCCATGTGTCATCCTTAATACCATTTGCCTCCATCAAGTGAAACTCATTCAGAACATTGATGTTACTATCCATGGAAGATATGAATCTTCAAACCCCCAGATTCACAAGAGTACTGCATCAAAAACTCAACAAGACGAACAAAATTGAACTGCAATATCAGTGCAGTGTATCAAAACTGAACAAATGAACAAAAAAATCATAAAAAACTAATCCTACTCCATCACAGCTTTCGAAGTCAGCCGCAAACTGAGCAAATAAGTAATATAGAATTTAGAGACAAAGCTAATCCAAAATCGTTTGACAATTGACCTTATCTAGGGTTTTGCAAGGATACAAAAACACCGAACCGAATGCATAAATAAGCACTGCCAGTCAGCTATTAATGACAGTAATACTTACAAGTATATCGAAATGAAGTATGGGTTGAGGCCTGGCCGCCTGGGAGTGCTTTGGCGGGTGGTAGTAGAAGCGAGAATTTTGGAGAAGACGATATTTACTACTTCCGCTAGAGAAATAGCGAACGACGGGCACAGTAGGTGTAAAAGAGGATCAGGGTGCAGCGATCCAACGGTGGAAATATGTTGCCTCGATTTTCAACTTCAACTCTCAAACATCGGTCCCGTATTACTTCTCTATTCAAGATTATTTAGATAATAAGGAGTAAAGGGGAGGTTCAAGTGAGAACTCTAAGAACCCGTGAGAAGGTCGTCGAATAATTTTTGTTTGAAATTTTTTGTGTATGCTCCTCATCAAGTCTAACTGATTCATGTCAAATTTGAGCAAAAACTTCAATCGAGAAGGTCGTCGAATAATTTTTGAAAGAAAACTGCGTTTTATATATATATCGGGCCAGTTTTCTTTCAAAAAGCATTTGACGCCCTTTCCGATTGAATTTTTTGCTCAAATTTGGTATGGATAATCTAAACTTGATGAGGAACATACACAAAAAATTTCAGCCAAAAATACCACCGGTTCTCAAGGGTTCTCACGGGTTCTTATTGTAAGAGAGGTTCTCACTAGAACTCTCCCCGAATGAGTAATAATTAAATAAAATAATTTGAGTATAAATTAACAGATGTATAGTATAATGCACCGCAAGAAATGTTGGGCACACCTCATTCTCTTCAAAATTGGACAAATGTGTCCTCTTTGGTTGGTTAATCATAGTACGATGTACTGGGTATTTAATTAGAGAGTATTTGAATTCGTTGCTGGACGACACTAGTTTATCATATACTGCACCCTACTAATTCTCTTTCCAACAGTATTCAATTGTAATTTTTTCATTTGTGATTTGCCAAAAAAACATTTGTGCTTCCATTTGGCAATACATGAATACTTTTTTATGATTTTGATTTGATATCACATGTGTGAAATTTAAAAAAAAATACTCAGATATGAACACTTGCTAAATGTGTATTTTACTAAAACATTAATTTAGGCGACATTAATTTCTAGAATGGCAACTTTGAAGATTGAAGTATACATATTAATTTGACAAAAATTCATATAACAGGAGACATTAATTTATAATTTTAATGCTAATAAGGATGTTTGTCAATTGTCATAGACTATAACCTTCCATTCGAGTGTGATATGGTATGATCTGGTCTGGTTTAGGATGTTTTCTTTTGAATTTTTTTCAGTCCCAGACCAGATCAGACCAGAACAGACTTCTGTAGTTATAAAATACACAGAGATCACACATTTACCAGACTAGACCAAACTGGTTCAGACCAGACCATATCAGATCAGACCAGACCAGCAAATTTCGGTCTAAACATCCTTAGACTGTTTGACTTTGGTCTAGTTTAGTGCGGTCTGAATTAGTCCGATTTGGTAGATTCAATGTTGGTTCTAAGTGTATTATACAATTATCCAAGTCTAATTTGGTTTGATATGATTTAGTATGTTTAAATCTGGTTTGGAATTGAAATCAATCCAATTAAAAACACCCTAAATAGTCTTATTCATAATTATATACGGAGTGTAATAGAATAAAGACAGTATTCCATTGAAAGATGAATGAAAAATATGTATGAACACCTAAATATTTATGAACATTGTATATATGCAACAAACTTAATGAAACAAATAAAAAACATATATACGAGGTATTTATTTATCTTACTTCATATGGAGTAGTAATCACTTCATCTACCCTACTATCTTTCATTGAGTTTCATTGAGTTTGTTGCATACAATGTTTAATAGTATTTAGGTGGTAAAGTATATTTTTTCATTCATCTTTATATTAAATATATATTGTCTTTATTCTATTACATATAACTATGATCGAAACTATTTGAGATGTTTTTAATTAGGGAAAACATCAAGTTTTTACGAGAAATCAATTTTTAGGAACGGAGGAAGTACTTTAGTAAAATGCACATTTACTGGTCGTGCATCAAGAGAATTAACCAATCTTAGCATAATATTTTTTTAAAGTTTTTTATGTATGTAATATTGATTTCATATGAAAGATACTTCGTATGTAATATTGATTTCAAAGATCATAAAAGAATAATTTGATTTGATTTATTTTTTAAAAATCATAACATAAAATGAAAAAGGTTATTAGTCCGTACATTTTATAAAAATAATACTCTGAAATTATTTGTCACATGCAAACTGGTGCATAGAGTATCAATTGTGCAATTGATTGAAATATACGAGTGTGGCATGCGAACTCTCCTTGTCAAGCAACCCATAATATAATGAGGTTGATGACAATTTTTAAGTATTTGTTTTCTCTCTCATTGATTTGTAAACGCATAATGTTTTTCTTTTGTATGCATGTTTTGCATTTTTTGTTATTAATTGGACGCCTTGTTGTTGTAAAACCCTAGTCATTAGTATTACTACTAATATATACCGAGTAGCTATTAAATTTTACAAATGAATTGTTTGAAATTATTTTTTTGATAGAAACAATTAAGTTTTTAAATATTGAAAATAAATAGACGTAAATGACTTTGAAAAAATGACTCTTTTGACATTTTCCAAAAATATGATCAATCTTAGTTGTAACCGCTTTGTTTTCGAAATAAAAAATGTTTCGTCCAGCCCTTCATCTTCGAAAAATTCTAAAGGTACACACTTTTTTGCGTACACACTTTTTACACATGTATGTGTAATATTTTTTTTATGTCTGTACAGACATAACGTATTTTAAAAACACGTTATGTCTGACATAAAAAAACTCTTACAGACATGTGTAAAAAGTGTATACCCAAGTCAAACTCTTCTTTCCCACTCGCAAGCATCGACTCTCTCTGCCTCTTTCTTCGCACCGCACACACATCCATATGGAGACCAGTCCCTAGGCGGCCGCTCCGCTTCTCGTCTCCGCCAGCTGCCACTGTGTCGCCTCCGTTTTCTGCCTCCGCGTCGCGTCGCGTCACCTCCGCTGGATGCCAGGGTCGCGGTCGTGGCAATTTCAGACATAGATTCAGATGCTCCGGTGGCAATGGCAAGCCACCGATCATCTCTGCATATCGGATATGTTCTGCATCGGTGCGTCTCGGATCTGACGATGACAACCACCGATCATCTCTGCATCTCGGATATGTTTCTGCATCGGTGCACATCAGCATATGTTCTCCAACCTTCTCTTTGCATCAGATCTGCTCGTCTCTTTCGACTGGTGTCGCCTTGTCTTCTAGATCTGAAGCCATTTCTCACTTCGGGTCCTCATATGGGAACAGACGGCTTGGAAGGGGGTATGGACCGCTGGCGAAGGGGATGGGGTTGGGTAGGGTGCTGGAGAGGGTTGGGCATGTTGGGGGAGGGTGCTAAAGGGGGGGTGAGGGGGGACATTATGGAGGGGGCTGGGGGTCTGTGGACTGGGCTGGTGGGAAAGGGGAGGCGGTGGCTACTGCCGTGGTGGTTGTTGGGGCTGCTGGAGATCGGGCGAGGCAGGGAGGTTGTCATTTGGGCTGCTGCCAATCATTGGGCGACACTAGGGTCATGTGTTGGCGGTGGTGGGTGGTGATGGGCAGCGGCGGTGGCGTGACAGTGGTGTGGTGGTGTGGTAACTGACCGGAGGGGCGGTGGTTGGAAAAAATTGTGTGTCACTACGGAGTTGTCACTACGAAGATGTTACAGCAAAGTTGTCACTATGGTCGGTGACAACCCCGGGGCAGTCACTGTGGGTGGGGCAATCACTGACTCACTGTGACTATTGGGACAGTCACTGTGACCGAAATCACTTTGACTTGAGTCTCTTTTATCAGAGTCACTTTGCATTGCAGGGTTAATTGTGATGTTGATCACATTTTTTGGAATTTTAAAAAACTCTTTTTTTTATCCTTTATTCCTTTTTTAGTAGTATCTAGGCCAAAAGGTCAATAACTTTTTTATAATGTTTAAACTTGTTTCAGTCCTTGCTAGAATATATTGGATCTGACGTAAAAAATAGTAACACGTGTAATAGATCACTACTAGACACGGTTAGACCAGATAACAAATAAAATTATTTTAAATTTTTTAGAGTTATTTAAAACCTTATTTATTTATTTATTTTTTGCTTAAAAACTCAAGAAATTCTATTTTATTATTATTATTTTACTTTTCGAGTGTATTTATGAATAATAAAGGGCAATTATGCACTTAAGGTGTGTCTGTTCCAAATATAAAAAAATAAGTATTTCAAATTTCTAAAACTAAAATTTAACTTTTATTATCCCTCCTAAAATAAACTAATAATTTTATCTTAATCTTCCAAAATCCAAAATGGTAAATAATGCTTCCTTCGTTCTCTAATAGATGGGAGTATAACCTTTGACACAAGATTTAAGAAGGAATTAACGTAGGATAAAAGGTGTAGTGGGTTGTGTATAAAGGTAAAAGTAGGAAAGAGAATGAAAAAATAGGAAAGAGAATGAGGATAAATGAATGTATGTATTGAAAAAACTTACCAAAAGTGGAAAGAGAGACAACTAATAGAGAACATCCCAAAATGGAAAGAGGACCAAGTATTAGAGAACGGAGGGAGTAGTTAAGAATAACACAAATATTTCTTATTTAATTCAGAAAATAACTTTTAGAGAGTCTGGAATTTAAACAAAAAATCGAAAACAAAAGAGTAAAATATAATGAATTTTAAAAACTTGGTGAATATGTTTTTTATGTGGAAATTTAATGAGTTATTAATTTAGAAATTTTGATAATCTGTACAAAATTGAAATAACTTTCAAAGTTTTAATGTGTAAAATATTTAATCTGTGTGTAATAACTTTCAAAGTTTCAAAGTTTTCAGGATGTTTTTAATTTTATTGGTTAAAATTAAAGATAAATCAAATCTAAACAAATCGAACGATGTCCAACTAAACTAAAACAAATCAGACTAAATCAAACCATATTTAAACTGATTAGACTAGAAAATTTTTGTTCCAAAATTTTACGTATGTAATATTGATCTCATTTTTTTTGCAGAAACAGAAATTTTATTAAATAAAACAGGCAAGAGTACATGAAAGGAAAGAAAAAAAAAAGAAAAGATAATAATGAGAAGAAACAAATAAGAAAACACCCAACCCAAAGCCAATCTCTATCTAGATAACCATGAGCCCTCGATCAAATCTTCAAAGCCCTATTCTTGATTGAGATCTTGTTTTCATAAGATAAGATCGTTGATTCTTTTTTCTGAACATTCTTTTCCGGGTGTTCAAATTCTGTGTAGGTAAGTAGTTATCTCGTGTAACCCTTAAAGCTTTGACACAAATTTCTTCATTTGCATCAAAATCCCATAAATCATCCAATGTTGATATTGGTACCCTCTTCTCATTTTCTGAAACATGACCAGCAAAACAAGAAACGTGTTTACCAAAGAAAATTGTTAGAAACCTGGATAAAGAAAAACAGAAAAATGTGTTTACCAAACCGTTTTCCAAAACAAAAAATGAGACATGTCTCTCTTTTCCTTAATGATTTGAAGAAGTGACTTTTACTAGTTTTCCAAATTTGGAAAATGTGGATGCTACAGGCCGCTGCAATGAATTTGCATACTTATACAGTTACACCTAGTGGTGGGTCCGGTCCCGCTACGATGTCGATTCCATTCTAGTACCTCCATCCTCGTACCTTACCCCTTACCCCTACCCTACCCTATCCACCCATCCCCCACCCCACATACCCCTTTTCCCAACAATGACCCTACCCCATCCCCTACCACATGCCCCTACCTCAGTCCCACCCCGATCCACCCTACCCTACCACCTCCTACCACCTCGTATATTACCCCTTCCCACATGCCCCCTACCTCGATCGCACCCTACCGCCATCCTACCCCCACCCTCGTACCACCATCCAACCCCCACCCTACTGCCATCCTACCCCCACCACCATCCTACCCCCCACCCTACCCCTTCACCTACTTCGGCCCCACCCTGATCCCAGCACCACCCTACCGCCATCCTATCCCAATTCCCTACCCTACCCCTACCTTACCCCAACCCTACTCACTACCCCCACCCACTACCCCACCCTACCCCGTACCCATAGACCTTACCACCCCACCCCAACCATACCACTTACCCCACCCCACCCACCCCCAACCCATACCTTCCTTCCCTACCCCGACCCCTACAAGTACGTATGGGTGGGTATGAAGGGTTTTAGGGGAGTATGGGTAGAGTGTAAGATCGTGGTAAGGGTAGGGGTCAAGGGTGTGGAATTGGGTGTAGGATGGGGGTACGAGGTATAGGGGCAGCGTAGGGATTAGGAGTATGGGTACACTTACGAGGTGATCGACCCCACATGTTATATTATATATTTGTTTTCATGAATGTTTGTGTGTCTATATATGTATAGGGTTATTTTGAACATTTTAATGTTAAACGATGTTTTAAACCTTTTTGAAGTAAACATGATCTTATAACATTGCTTATTTTATGCGTCGCTTATTAACGCGGGTTTTAATAAGCACAATTTAGTAACCCGTGAAGTAAATGTGTCAGTCTTCTAGATGATCACAGAACTGAGTGAAAAAATTGATGAACATGTTTTCAGATTTGAAAATGGAAAACTAGAAAATAGAAACAGAAAACTGGAGATAGAAAAACTGAAAAATAAAAACAAAAAATTGGAGAACGAAAAATAGAAATAGAAAATAGGAAAATATCTCTGTTAGTAAACAGGCCCTTAACATTTTGTTTAGGTTTACTTTGTTTCAATAGAGCAAGGAGAAATCCATCTTGCTCTCTATTGAGGAACCCCTTTTTTCTTCAGCATCGCTCATGTGGATTAGGGATGGACCAAATCAGGCCGGGCTCCGAACTAGGACTGTGCAGGATCGGGACTAAAAATTTCAGGCCCAGTACCGGCTCAGGTTTGTACCGGGACCGGAGTGGACCAAGCCTAAACAATACCGGGTCAAGACCAGGCCGGGAAGGGTCTAGGCAATAAATTAAAAAAAATAGTGCAATTGGGCCCGAGCCCGATCGGGTCAGGCCTCAAAATACGAGCTTGAAGCCACCTTATAGCCACCGCCCACCGGGCTAAGACCAGGCCGGGCTCCGAGCCTAAAGAGGATCGAGCCGGGTCAGGACTAAACAGTATCGGGACCAGGCCATGACCGGGTCGGACCTACCCGTCCTAGTCCATCCCTAATGGGGATTACTTCCCCTTCTTTGGGAATGAGCTCTTGTATATGAAAAATAATTTGTTACTGTCAATAATTGTGCAATTTGCTCATTGAACATGGCATCTCTAGAATCGTATCTTGTGTCAAAATATCCATTCATGTTACCTCCTCGTGATGTCTCACCTACAGAGCATTTTCCACAGGTGCATGAGGAAGAACCAACAACTTTATTCTTACTTTATATGAAAGACTACTCATATCAATAGCTCTTCTATCATTCAAAATAACTAAATAAACTTTAATTAGTTATACAATATAAAAACAAAATTACAACAAAAATATGACAATCTAAATTGAAAATTAATTCAGAAATTGCCATGTACTCCGTAAGCCTGTATGATCCAAAGCAGTCTCATACTCGCTTGTTATATTGTGCACACTGTAACATATGGGCCGTAACATATTTTAAATTTATCATTTGAAAATTGCTCATTTTTCCTATAAATGGATTTTCCAAGAAACCGACCCAATCCAGTTTGAGTCCAGTTACAATTATAGGTCAAGTAAAGGGTGGAATTAGAAGCATAACCAGTTGTATGACTTGTATCCGGTCCAGTTTGAGACTAGTCCTTGGGTCTCTTATAATTATGGTTTTTGGGTCAATTACTGGCCTAAGTTATAGCCATTTGAAAAACGAAACCGGAACATGGGCAGGGTTGGACCAGTTCCTAGGACCAATTTCAATCTGAACCGGGGAAACCAGTTCGAGAGTCCGGGATAAAATGACTGATCTGTGTTTGATGTCCATTTGCATGAGAAGTTTCCTTATTCTTTTCAAGGAATTGCACATTCAACTTGCATGAATAGTAAATCCAGACATACCATATACAAACTGAAAAATCACTAGCCATTATCAAACGAGACAAGTCCTGGACACTGAAACTTTTACGTACAACTCAATGATTAATCAGTAAAGTCCAGCTTTCTCTGGCATCAAATTATGCATCTAAAATTTAGCTACAAGTAAAAGAACCTACTTTGATGGGGGCTTGCCTGCTATTTGAGTTTTTATAGCTCTGGTAAGTGACGGAGAGTATTGCTCAGAAATCAAAGATGGTGAACTTCAAAGGAGGTTGCTCTCACTCATCAGACATGCATCGCAAACAACTGCATTTGAAGCCAAATCCTTCATATAGGAGCGTTTGCCTGGCGTTGCAGTTCATACTTGCATCTATGTAACAAATCCGCAACTCCTCTCCTGCAATTGCTGATGAGTTTGTATATTAAAATGCTAAATGCCCCAGTAGCATTTTATGCTGGAGAAATAGAAGTACAAGGAATAGACCTACTTGGGTGTAAACAGATGAATGAGCTAAATAGGTAGTCTTTTTTACATCACATGATTCACAACTCAGCTTAAAAATATTTCACTGGAAATAGGTGTATAACAGTAGTACAGTACAAAGGATGACCTGCTTCAATGTCACGAAGAGCCTTCAATTTTACATCTGCATTTTGTAGCCACACGATATGTGTATTAGGATCTACAACCAAGGAAGAAAACATAAAAAAAGGTCAACTAATCAGGATAGTAATGCAATTAATGTGACATAATACATGCAGAATCGCCAATAAAATGTCCATGAAATGATGCACATTACTTCCAAGTATTGCAGGTCATAGATATCATCCCTTAAATGTATTATGGTGTAAATCCGATCTTTTATGCAGTACGTGAAATAAATAATTTAGGACCACACCAAATCTACACTAGTTAAGATATGTGAAAGACCATACCTATGAAGATTGAAAAAAAGGGACGATTTTCCATTTCGAATAAGATACTCTGGATAACTCAAGAAGCAGCATGAGA